GGGGACCAGTCTTCATGAATAGCAGCCAAGTGACTTTAACTGCCAAGTAACCTCTCCAGTCACATTTCCTCCAACAAGGCCATACCTTCTAATGCCACTCCCTAAGCATTCAAATGCATGTCTATGGGGGCCATTCTTATTCAAACCATGACAAACGTACATATAAAATAAATAAGTAAATTTTATTTTTTTTTTTTTGTGTGTGTGTGTGTGTTTAAAAGTCTTCTGAGTCAAGAACAGCTTCTTTAAAATTTGCTATCTGGGGGCTGGAGAGATGGCTCAGAGGTTAAGAGCGCTGGCTGTTCTTCCAGTGGTCCTGAGTTCAATTCCTAGCAACTACATGATAGTTCATAACTGTCTACACCGGGGGATCTAATGTCCTCTTACGCCATGTAGGCATACATGCTGTCTATATATAATAAATAAACAAACCTTTAAATTTGCTATCTGCAAGTCCATTTTTAGGGATCCTACAAGACAGCAAACCCAGAAAGATGAAGACAAAGAGTCCAAGAAACACAGGACCAAAGAGAAATAAATTAAGGGGAACCTGGAAATAATGATGAAGGGAGACTCTCAAGAAGAATACTCTTGCCTTGAACCACTGTCTATGTTCTCTAGGGACTGTACCATCAAGACTGAGTAGGCCTGACTTTGAAGTGGCAAAGCTTTGAAACCTCAAAGCCTGCCTAGGGTGACATACTTCCTCTAATAAGGCCACACCTTCTAAGCATGCCCAAATAGCACCACCAACTGGGGCCCAAATACTTAAACACTGTAGCCTCGGGGGTCTATCCACATTCAAACTACCAGAGATGGAAATTCCTTTAGCTCATACAGGGTCTCTCAGTAGATGCTCAGGAAATATTTGAACATATATGTGAGATTTGTGACAGAACAGATACCCGGAAGGGTGCACAGGGGAGTGACTGTGTTTCCTAAGTGTCAACACTCTTTGTGTTGATGGCTGTGTTCCTTCTAAGACCACAGAAAGCCCAGGAGAGGCTGAGATGGGAGAAAAAGTCAAGAACAAAACTAAAGCTATTAATCTGTTTTCTAAAAGATCTGGGTGCTGGGAATGGTGTCACACATTTAATTCCAGCACTCAGCACTCAGAGGTAGAAGCTGGTGGATCTCTGAAAGTTCAAGGTCAGCTTGGTCTGTTGTAGTAAATTCCAGGCCAGATGGAGCTACACAGTGAGACTGTCTTTTAAAAAAAAAAAATCTGGGAGATGTCTATTTGTAACTGAAACCTTGTCCCAAACACTACCTTGTCACCAATACCCTACCCCAGATCCAAGACCCACCCTCCGAGCACTTACCCCAATAGCTGAGATGCCCAACACAAGGGGGCACTCCTCCGTCACAGTGGCCCTGTTCTTCCTCCTCCCCTGGGAAAAAGCTGGGCCCTTTCTATACTGAAAACCCAGAAACTCCCCATGTTGGATGCAGCTTCTTGTCATGACTAAAGGGTCTTCCCAGGCATCAATGGCTCACCCACTAAATCAGCATACACCATTCTTAGTTTCACAGAAAACAGAGGTGTCAGGGACTAAATTAATCTGTCTTAGTTCACTGGCCTGAAGGTGGCAGCTCTGGACTCCCTTCCCCACCCTCTATGTGATAGCTATCTAGAGAAGAATAAACTAAAGGGTATCCTTCTACAGTTTCATCTTATATGCTAACAACATCCGTTTGACATGTCCTCCTTTAGGAACTAGGTTCATAGTTGGTCTGGCCACATGTGGATCCACATGAGGAACGTAATGGAGCAGTGGGCACAGCTTCCCTCTCCTTACCACGTTCATGGATAACCCCACCCCTGCAGCATCACCAGATTGAAGACCCACAGAGGATGGCCGGAGGCTCAAAGAGTACATGCAGCCTGGAAAGTCTGGCTCCTTTGGTTGTAGGAAAGTCCCTTCATACCTTCACGGACACGGGGCCTTAATTCACAAACGCTCCATCTTTTGAGGATTTAACCCCAAGGACACAGCCCCTTCCCAGCTACCCTATGTGAGACTGCTGGTCTGAGGCAGGGGAAGAAAAGGAGGAGGGGGCAGTGATGGAAGAAGGTTGGGCTTGGGAGATATCATCTAAAAGTGGAGGTAGGGTCCGTGAGGGTGAGCAGAGAGTGCAGAAAAACACAGAAGGCTCTTGCTTGGCTCTTCCACCACTGGAACAGAGAAGGGTTGGCATTTCCATCTCCGTGGCACTTACATCAGCTCTTCTAGTGGTTTGTTCCTGGCCCTGGATTCTAGTAGGCTTCCTGTTCTCATAACCTGTCAAGTAGAGTGTCAAAGGAAGCTGGGAAGGGGAATTTCACAACTAGCTGGTTTCCTTTGATGTTGCCACTGGAGCCCACAGTCCATCCCCCACCAATCAACCATTTGGGAAGTAAAGAAGACGGATCTCTTCGGTAGCTCAAGGCAGGGGCCTCCTCAGAGGACCTGCCCTCACATTCCAGCAGGGGGCTGGGAGGAGCAGCTGCCCAATCAGGATAAGGAGGTTATGGATATTTGAACAATTTGCTAAACCCAGTACACACCTCTGATGGAGCCACACCCCTGTGAGCTGAGCTCTCCAAAGCAATGGCTTTCTCTGAGAACTGGGTCAGCTTTGCAGCTTTCCCTGGGCAAGATTCCAAATCCAGCAAGTCCCAGAGTCATCTGGGAAGAATCGTTACCTGCAGGGGGTGGGGAGAATCAGGGAGAGAGACGGAGGTGAGTTAGGAAGCCCCTGCCTCCCTACCTGAGTCTCTTTCTCCCTGTTCTCAGCGAAGATTGATGTGCTAGCAAGCTGGCCAGCCCGGGGCCCACCTGTGTATATGCTCCCCTGGCACATTTGAGATGAGGCCACCGTTCTCACTCCAGCACCCTGCAGAGCCAGGTGTGGCTGCCAGCTCAGGCAGATTCCATTGAGGCCCCAGGCCTGACCCTGCCTGAGAAGCCCCGCCCTTTATCCTTCTTGCAAAGAGGAGAAAAAAAATGTGTATGCATTCTATCTGAGACTCCCTCTCTCCACTCTGTCCCTTTGAGCTAGGTATGTAAACTGATATGGGACTTGTCTTGGTCTTAAGCAGACTTGCCCACCCCCAAAATGCACCTTTGGATTCTAGCTGCCTTAAACTGGCCCCTTTCTCCAACTATCTCAGGAATGCTTGTTTGTCAAACATCTTGTTAGGTGTCCCTTCAAGTACCAGTGAACCCCAGGACTGCGCCATATGGCCTTTCCCCTGATTTTGTAACTCAGAGCATATGTGCCTGCACCTACTCTTGTGTCTCCACCAAGGGTTTCCAAGAATGCTGCCATGAAGTGAGGATACCTTGGAACTTCTTTAGTCTTTGTCATCAGGCTCCTACCTACTGCAGCTAGTAGGGACAACGGTGTGCGAGCCACAGCTTCTCTTTGTCAGGTAACCTTCAATTTGGCATACTTGTTTTCTCATCTGTGTCAGACACAATCAGGATCTAAAACGCAATGTTTGGATTTCAAGTAAAACATATACGCTTTATGAATGGTTTGCTAGTACATATGATAGAACACCACATGGGTGCCTGGTACCAGCATAATTCAGAATTGCCTATCAGATCTCCTGGAACTGGAGTTACAGATGGTTGTGAACCACCATGTGGGTGCTGGGACTCTAAGGCACATCCTCTGTTAAGGCAGCAAGGGCAGTTAACGCCTAAGGACACCCCCCCCCCACACACACACACACTTTTAAAGGAAAGCTTTGTGCAAAACTAGCCACATCCCTGGCTATTGAGTTTGAAAGGTTTCTTGTCCTCCGTCCCCTCCAGCAAACTTGGGAAGAACGCTGAGGGAAGGAGGGGAGGACCTGGCCGGCCACAGCAGAAATCGCTGATTCTAGGTGGATGGGACTGAGGAATGCGTGCTCTAACCAGAGGAGGGAGGAAGAATGGAGTCAGAGCAGCTAAGCTGGAGGAGTCTCCTGGAAAGGTAGAAGGGTCCAAATGACAGACAGAAGACTAGATTCCACACCAAAGTAGAACAGCAGAAGCCAGAGAAGCAGAAGACAAAGAGGGTTGGCTAGGTGTAGACGAGGTGGAAAAGTCACTGGAACTGGGAACCAGAGACACTCTGGGCCTGCCTTGTCAGGTTAGGGAGCCCGGATTCCGAAGATCAAGAAAAGAAACCTGGCTTCATCAGCTACTCTCTGTGTGACCCTAGATACACGTTGCTTAAACTCTCTGAGTCTTGGTTTCTTATTTATTACAGAGAATGATGAGAACACCCAAGGGTGACTGGAATCGGATGGCCGAGTAAAAAGGTGACCCGCCGCGTGCTTGGCTTAAAGCTGAGCGGAATTGGGGAAGAGTTGGAACGAATACCCAGTGAATGGCTGATTTATTTGGGTAGTGGGTTAAATCAACCAGAGTTCCAACCCAGATTCACACACTTCCTGTAGAGGCAGGATCTAAAAGAGCTGGCGAAGGTGTTTGTAAACAATAAAAGTGTAATTCAAAGTTTGCCGCTGGGGGGTGAAATAGTAGGGATTAGGAAAGAGGCCGGGCTGCTGAGGACGGAAACATCGGTTCGCCCGCAACACGGTCAAAGCTGGGCGGGTGTGAACTGCTTTGCAGTCCTCCCGCCATCTCCAAAACGCTACAGACCCCTCCTGCAGCCACCATAGGGACGTGCGAGGCTTATCCCTGAAAGTCGTCCCTCGGTGCCTGTAGGAATGACGGGTGAGAACCGGGTGCGGACAGTGGTGGTACGATCTTGGGACGAGTTGGTTAAGACACCTCCAACAGCTAGGACAAAAAGCAGGGAGCAGGGAATGCCGCACGGCCGCCAGAGCCCAGGGTGGCAAGGGGACAAGGCTGAGGCCAGCCCAGCGGCCAGCCGCAGCGCCGCCTCCCGGGAGGAAGGCGGGGGCTGGGCCGGGGAGCGGAGGGAGGCGGAGAGCGGAGGAGGGCGGCGCGCTGAGAGGTTATTTGTGGTTCGCTTTGATCCCAAGGGGGAACCTGAAACTCTCACATTCCTGGCATAGCAGCCGCCTCCAGCGCGGGCTGACCTAGAGGCTGCGCACTGGGTCGCGAGTAAGCAGATCGTCGGCGCCACCGACGAGTGCGCACCTCCGTAGCCGACCGTACCTAAGCCGAACCGGGTCTGCGTGCGCCGGCAGCCGCGGGCCTCAGCGGTAAGCAGGGTGCCCGGCACTCCGGGCAGTGCGCGAGGCTGTTTGGGACGCTTCCCAGCGGTACCTCGACACCGCGATCAGCCCGACTCTTTCTGGAGATCGTAGCTGGGGTGGACGATCCTCCCCAGGATCAGGGAGGGGAGACTGCACCCTTTCGAGGATCGATCCTGGGTGTCTGTCTAGCCTGGGCTGCTCACTCTTGTGGGGGTGAGGACACGATTCTCCGACCCACTGGGGCTGGAGGAAGGACAGAGGATCAGTGTTTGGGAATATGCGTCTCGCGTACGGGGCAAGTGAAAAGCTGCCGTAGGTATATCTCGCGGAATACCGGGTCACCGTGACTGCTTTGTCTAGATTGGAGATACAGGTGGCTTTTACCCTCAGCTAGCTCAAGAATTCCTCTTTGTCTTCCTTGGAAAATCCTCTCCGGAGCCACGAACTGGCTCTCACTTAGAAAGAATGCAGCCTGCTGTCCAGTTCGGTGACGTCAGCGCTGAAGTATTTGGAAAACAAAGAGGCTTAGGGAGAGAGGCGGACCCGCAATGCTTAAAGACCTCTTGAGGTTGCAGGTTTTGCTCGCACGGGGCACTCGGGCAGCCACCGGTGCTAGTGGTCGGCCTCAGTAGAGGTGGGTAACACGGGAACCTTGGCCTGGCTAGCCTAGAGTCTAGCGTTAGTTTCTTTTGCTGGAGGGAGCCAAGACCAGAGACGCACGTTTGCTTTGAAAGGTGGCTGGTTTTCCGAGTGCAGCGCTCCGGAGCAGCCCAGGTACAAAGCCCGCGTAAGGAAGCTGATGTTTTAGTAACTGCTCATATAAGTATTTGAAAGATTGTGCATCTAGAGGATTAGATTGGGACCTGTGTGCGATGAAAGGCCTCGGAAATGTCCCGTGCTCCGGGAGCCTGGCTCATAGTTGGCGCGCCTGGAATCTGTCGGGAAGGCTCTGCATTCCTTCTAGCCACTCCCGGATCCTCCTTAGCCGGAGTCAGCCCAGACAGTGATTAACTTAGGAAATGCCGTGTAGAAAAAGCTGCGTGCGAACAGACTCCTCAAGTCTTACACATTGTAGGGTGCAGTTGGGGTGGGAGGTGGGGGGTTAGTTGCCGTCTTGGGTGTCGTCAGGGCTCATTACCTTCCCCCAGCTCTGCCAACATACCATTCCCAAACTGAGGTACGACACTGGGGGCTAGCATGATGGCACAGAAAGGGGCCACCCTCCCTTCCTTCGTCTTCCCCCTCGTTTCATTACCCCATCAACCGGTATAGGTGGTTATTAATATCAACAGAGATACAGAGGAACCAGCCCATGTGTATCTCTAGGGTACAAGTAGGGGCTTTTCTAAGTAGCAGATGTGTGTGCCAGGAGTAGGGTAGCAGGAGGAGGGTGAGCATCAAAAATGTTTCGCTGGCTCCAATTACTGCAAGCACACCTGCCTCCTCACCAGTTCGCATGCAGCTTCTGCTGCTCACCGTGCAGTGACTGCTAAGGTCACTGTGACAAGGAGACTCAGATGTATTTTATCAGCAGTCTTTGAGCCCAGGGTCTGGCGAGGGGGGTGGACTACCCACAGCTCAAGCGTCTTCATTCTACAGAGTCACTGGAGCCATTTACTTAGGGCTTTCTTCTGGGCTACGTTCTTTATCACCTGCCAGGAATCTGGGGTCCTACTGCTAAGTGGTTGAACTTGATGGCCTGTCCTGAATTCACTCATGAAATTGTTTGGGGACTGTGATATTAGATAGCCTTCTGGTTTTCTGTTGTATTTCTGCAGGATCAGTTAAATCTCCATAAATGTCATTACAACGATGAGCATTTGTCAAGGATTTATAGCATACCAGGCGCTCAACCTCTTACATTTCAACTTCAAGAGGCACACTGTGTGTACATACATACACACACATATGTACATTATATATGTATATATGTGTATGTATATATTTAATATATATCATATATATATATATCTCAAAAGCTCAGTAGCTAAACTTAATCGATAGATGGCCATGTTGTCACTTGCATCTGGGCCTGTGCAAAACCGTCTACCTAACCGCTTCCTTTCTCCAGAATGTTAGAGCATGTGCCCTGCCCTCCTTTGTATGTGCTTCCATTGATTGCTAGTCTTTCTCTCTCTTAGGTGCTCTGAGACCAGGTGCCTGCTGGCCATTGTCTAGGCAGGTGTGTGCAAGCCAGAGAAGCATGAGGACACTGGAAGACTCCTCGGGGACAGTCCTGCACCGCCTCATCCAGGAGCAGCTGCGCTACGGCAACCTGACAGAGACTCGCACTCTGCTGGCCATCCAGCAGCAGGCCCTGCGGGGTGGGGCTGGAGCTGGGGGCACGGGGAGCCCCCAGGCCTCCCTGGAGATCGGAGCACCCGAGGACAGTCAGGTGCTACAGCAGGCCACCAGGCAGGAGCCCCAGGGCCAGGAGCATCAGGGTGGAGAGACCCACCTGGCAGAGAACAGGCTGTACCGGCTGTGCCCACAGCCCAGCAAGGGAGAAGAGCTGCCCACCTATGAGGAGGCCAAAGCCCATTCGCAGTTCTACGCAGCGCAGCAGGCAGGGTCCCGGCCGCAGGTTGGGGACCGGGATCCTAGAGGAGGCAGCCGACGACAGGATGAGGCACTGCGAGAGCTGAGGCACGGCCATGTACGCTCCTTGAGTGAACGACTTCTGCAGCTGTCCCTGGAAAGAAACGGTGCTCGGGTCCCCAGCCATATGAGCTCCTCCCACAGCTTCCCTCAGCTGGCCCGCAGTCAGCAGGGTCCCCAACCCCGAGGACCCCCAGCTGAGGGCCCAGAGCCCCGTGGGCCACCACCTCAATACCCACACTCTATAATGGCTCAGGAGACTGCGGGGGTCACCGACCCAAGATATCGTCCCAGAAGCAGCCCACACTTCCAGCATGCCGAAGTCAGGTAACCCCGGATTTCTTCTAGTTCAGTCTCCTAGAACCCCAAGGTCGTATATATCTTGAATCTCAACTGACATGATCCCAATCCCAGGGCACCCCCACCAGCTCCTGGGGCTGTCTGATCTAGTTCTACTCTCTCCTGTTTTGAGAAGGGAGAACTTGGGGCTGGAGGATAGGGGGACTTAGCTGATCCAGTCATGGTAGCACATGCCTATAATGTTTAGTGAGGCAGGAGGATCCCAAGTTGACCACCAGCCTGGGCTAAGTAGCAAGACTGTCAAGGAAGAAAGAAAGAAAGAAAGGAAAGAAAGAAAGAAAGAAAGAAAGAAAGAAAGAAAGAAAGAAAGAGAAAGAAAGAGAGAGAGAGACATCATTGCTTTAACTCAAAATATACATAGCATTGTCTATAGCATTCAAATAAAGAGGGCTCCCAGGGGATTTGAATGGGGTTCAAAGGTGAGATTTTTTTTTTTAAGAAAGAACTAATTAAAGACAATAGGAATCCTTACCAAACTGCTCCCAAGTTAAGTAGGCCAAAGGTGGAACTTCCTGAAGATTTTTAAGAAAAAGTGGACATTTCTGTTGTTGGCCTCATTGGGAGGTGTTGCTAATGGGGCTGAAAGAACTAGGTGGCTCTCTAAGCCACTTCTGTACAGCTACCTCTTCTGCCGGTTAATTACTTACTGGGTTTTCCCTTTTGCTTGTCATTATGGGCCTAGGTGAGTAAGTGAGCTTTTTTTTTTTTTTTTTTTTTTTTTTTGTGGAGGCTCAGGATGCTGTTGGACCAGGCTAGTGACTTGGCTTGACTGAGTGGGAAGTGAACTCTGTGTGTGTGTGTGTGTGTGTGTGTGTGTGTGTGTGTGTGTGTGTGTGTGTGTTGGAGGGCGTGATATGATACGACTCTTAAAAGAGATATCAATACCAGCCTTGGAGAGTGGGTCATTGGAGCTAGACTGGGAGCTGGGAGCCCAGTGAGTGGAAGCAGGAAGCCAGATCATTGCAGGAGTCCAGGTTCCTAGAAATGAAGGGTTGCCTTAGTCATCTTCACTGGCCCCTGCACCCTTTCCAGAGAAACAGGCGCCCTTGCTGTATCTCCCTTGGGGTAGGCGGAGGTAGGGCCCCGAGAAACCGGGGGCCCTCTGGGCTCAAGGCCAGCGTCTGGCTCACTTTCGTCCTTGCTGAATACACTTGGTTGCTCCATTTCCCACCAGTGGTTTTTCTTCACTCTGGAAGAGAGAGTGGTGGCTGGCCCTGGGCTGGGGGAGCCAGGGGGTGGAGCCTCGTGGGTTTGCTCCAGCCTCCGCACCCCCAGATCCCCACCTCGCCTCCCTTTTCAGGGCCTGTCAGGAATAGTTTCTTCTTTTGGACCAGCCCTATTGAACCCTGCTAGGAAAAGATAATATCCAGGCAAGGAAGTGGGCTGCTTGCAGGAGAACAAAAAGCTAGGGAGGAGGGCAGTGGGAAATGGAAGAACCAGGAGCAAGTGTGAACGGAAAGGAGTCGCCACTCTTGCCTGGAGCTAGATCATTCTCAAAGAATGTCAGTTGTGTCTGCCTGTCCTGTGGTGGTGGTGGTGGGGGGACAATTATTTTCTGAGGCCACCCTGTGTGTGACCACACTTGGCAGCAAGGGAGAGTTTAGTCAGTCCAGTGGCAGCCCTCTACCCTGCTCTCCCTGGAGCCGATAGGAGGAAAAAGCACGTGCAGGCTTTTCCTTGGCTGACCAGACGAGGAATATTTGCTAGAGACTGAATCAGACTCAAAGAACAGGGGAGCCATAAGCTAGAGGGGTGATTTTGAACACTGGGGGTGGCGGTGGGGGACATGATAGACCCAGAAGTGAAATCTAACTTCCAGGAGGCTTCTAGAAAATTCTTAGCACAACTGAGAAGGCAATTGTGACACGTGGGGTCACAAGGCCCCAGAAAGACCCTCTGACTACCTGTGCCTCACTCTGTTCTCTAGACATAGAGTGGCCAAGGGCCTGTAGAACAGTCCTGAACGCTACTGTGGAGCTAATCCAGAGATGGCCCCTTGTTAGAGACGGGGGCTAAACAGTCATGGGTGAACCTGCTGTCACCAGCCATTCTGTCAAGCCTGGCTTCTGTGGCCGGAGACACTTGGCAGCCGTAGCACTGGTTTGCTGAAGGCCTAGCAGCTGGAGCTGAAGTCTGTTCGCATTTGTGAGACTGAGCTCTCCCCTAGCATCTCATTCCCGCTCTAACCTTAGCTGGGGTCTTTGAAAAGACTTTCTGTAGTTGGGGGTAGCAGGACCCTTGAAACAAATGAGGAGAAAAACTCGGGTGAGCTCCTTTAGCTGACTTGGCTTCCCCGCCAGAATCAACTAGTAAATGTGCCCCCCACACCCCAGGGGCCTGGGAATCTGTGTGGCTTCCATCCCAAAAGATCCTTCTATCAATTCAGAAGGTCAAGGGTGCGTCTTTTAAAGCTAATATTTAGCTGTATTTGCTTAGGACCACCAGGCTTGTTTGGGCTGATCCCAAAGGCAGCTGTGAACAGAATGGGCATCTGGATGCAGCGCCACCCTACCCACACACTACCCTACCCCACACAGGTCCTGCTCTCTGATTCTTGAGTCTTGGGAACATGCTTTGTGGCACAGGTCCTCCCTATGGTGGCTGCCTAGCACTGGGGAGACTCAGTCATTGGCTATAATAGCCAGGGTGTGTCTGTCTGTTTGTCTGTCTCTGAGCTTCATTCACCTCTTCTTTTCCAGGATCCTGCAGGCCCAGGTACCACCGGTGTTCCTCCAGCAACAGCAGTACCAATACCTGCAGCAACCCCAGGAGCACTCCCCACCCCTCCATCCAGCCGCTCTAGGACATGGTCCCCCAAGCTCCTTCAGTCCACCTGCAGTGGAGGGACCACCCAGTGCCCAGACCACCTCAGGCAATGCCCACATGGCCCAGATGGAGACCATCCTGAGGGAGAACGCCAGGCTGCAGAGGGACAATGAACGATTGCAGAGAGAGCTGGAGAGCACTTCAGAGAAGGCCAGCCGCATTGAGAAGGTGGGGACTCTGAGGGCACTCCTGGGGGGGGGGGCAGTACAGAGGGAGGCAGAGGGGTAGGAAAGCCTATCAGGTTGCCTTTTGCACCACATTCTGTCACACACACACACACAGACACACACACACAAACCAGGCTGACTACAGACAGCTGAGGAACAGCCAAGAGGCCTGCCCTGATGCATGAGCAGTTGCTGGCCAGTGGTGGTTAGAAAGAACTCATTCACTAGCTCCCTGCACACTTGTACCCTCTCCCTGCGCAGCCCCTCCTGTGGACACCTCCCACAGAGAGCCCTTTGTGCACCCACACAACAGCCAGTCTGTTCCAGGCCAGCCCTGGCCAAAGAGAAAGCCCCTCCTCTCAGGGAAAAGAAAAAGCAACGTGTTGGCAAAGCAAGCCAGCTAGGAGCACGTGGAAGACCTGTGGCTTCCAAGTGGGAGGGGCAGCCACATGCTCTGGGCAGAGGCGGCTCAAGCTGGGGTCTGGCACCCCCACTTCCTCAGTGAAGCCTGGCCAATTGTGTACTAAGGCTCAACTTTAGCAACAGCCTCAGGCCTTCCACTTACTGTCTGTCTACAGTGTTCTGGATAGGCTGAACCACCGATGCTCATCCCTGGTCCTTTGTAAACACTAGGCATGGGCCAGGCTGGAGGTAGCCCCCTTGAAGAGCATCTAGCACAGGGTCCAGGCAGCATCCAGTCCTTCCTTAGGAACAGCTGTCTGTCCCAGCAGGCCTAACTAAGAGGCTGTAGTCACGAATATCTCAATAGAGCCACTGGGCTCACTCCCTAGGACCCTTCCTGACATTGAATTTATTGCCTGCCTCTTACAGCTGGAAAATGAAATCCAGCGGCTCTCCGAGGCCCACGAGAGCCTGATGAGGACCTCTTCCAAGCGTGAGGCCCTGGAGAAGACCATGAGGAACAAGATGGACGGTGAGATGAGGCGGTTGCAGGACTTCAACCGAGACCTCAGAGGTGAGAACTGGGCACGTGGATTGGGGCATTGAGAGACACCATCTGTCAGACTTTGGGGGGGGGGAGGGATTCAGAATTGTTCTGTGCTATAGAGGCCTACATTAGCCCCCATCATTGGGCCCTGAGCTGAGCTGGGGACTTCCTTATAATCCCATCTCCCCAGCTTGGAAGAGACTTGTAGTCAGGACCCAAGGGTAACCCCCTCCCCCTGCCCCAGGCTGACAGCATCCCTCGATATTAAAACATCTTTTCTCCTTATTTGAAACAGAGAGATTGGAATCTGCAAACCGCCACCTGGCAAGCAAGACCCAGGAAGCCCAGGCGGGCAGTCAGGACACGGTGGCTAAGCTGCTTGCTCAGAGTGAGTAGAGGGGACCAGCTGAGAAACCTAAGTGGGTGTTCAGGCAATGAGACCACTATGACGCCACCCCACTCTCACCACCACTCCCTTCCCCTTGAGGTTTAATGCGCTTCCTTGCAGAGTAGTTGTTCGGGAACAGATCCACTGAATGTGTGCTGTGGGAAGGGGTGGTTTCCAAAGATGAATTGAGACCGGGGAGCAGTAACTGGCTGAGCCACACAGTGCCGACTCTCAGTGCCGACTCTCAGTCCCTCCTGTAGGGAGGCCGTGACAGTCCTGGCAATAGTTAAATGGAAGACAATGAGGGTTCTTCAGAGTTTACTAGGAACACCAGGCAACAGAAAGCCTGGGGACACAAGAAGCTGCAGGGCTTGGTCGAACTGGTGGAGCATCCTGGGATAGCCACAGATGGGTTTAGTCAACAGCTACGGTCTAAAGGATGCATTCAGAAAGTTTCTCTTTAAAACAGGGAGGTCCAGGCATCCTGGAAGCTTTATAGACTAATCAATTTCTTCCTTCATTAGTGGAGTTGGGCTAAGCACCTGGTCAGTGTTGGGCAGAGGGTGGGAATTCATCCAGAAAATGGCAGGCAGGTGATGAGCTAAGTCAGGAGCAGGTTCCCACACGTTCAAGGGGAAGAAGAGTGTTCATGAGCTGGAGGTTGGTGATTAGGAAGCTCCTGGTGATTCCGGGAAATCTGGGAACAGCAGGAGGATGGGGGCAGCGGAGGAGGTCTCAGACACTGAGGGGAAATGGCAGGTAAAAAGGCGGTCAGGAAGAGTATGTATGGAGTACTTTGTTAGGGGTGTCTAAAGAGAAGACCCTAGAGGGGGGCTTCTGGATCCCAGCTGCCCCCACTCCCTTTTTTCAGGGACTTAAGAGTGCTTGCTAATAAGCCTTTGGCAGGAAATGGGCTCAGATTGGGCAAGACTTGGGCTATCCATTACTACCTTTCAAAATGAAGTGGTTAAAGGTCTCTGGAACGGAGGTGAAGGGGGAAAGAGGTGTGTCGCCTAAGGGTTTGCCCTTGGGAGTCTGTAGAAGACCCCGACTGCTAGGGGAAGAGAGTTTAGCGGTGCTTTGGTGGGAGGGGTGGGTTTTGGACCCAGGCTCTAGCAAAGAAAGGAAGTCTAAGGGAGGGTTTCTGGAAGCCTGCAAAGGGGGATGGGGGGCAGAAGCAGCCGGGAGGCGTTTCCGCTCCCCGGGGAGCGAGCTAGCGCCAGGCTGTTCTTGGCTTCTTGCTGGAGCCATTAATCTCGCAGCCGCGGGTGACCTGGATGCCTGGCATTCCAGAGCCGCTGGGCTGTTCCGCTCCCAGCCCGTCCCCCCCTCCGTTCCCTCCCCTGTGCTCCTGACAGTGGCGCCCTTCGGCCCGGGTGGCGCCCAGCCTGGCTTTGGGAGGAGAGAGCATGAACACAAAGGGAGGCTGGGACCTCAATATGGGGAGCCTGCTAAGTAGGCTCGGCCTCCCACCCCCCAACCAAGGTATCTTAGAGATTGTACAAGGCATCTGGGAAAAAAAGACTGGATCCACAGCCCGAGGAACTAAGGAAAACCCTAGCATTAGCAGGTTTTGTTTTGTTTCTACACAATCGCCATTCCTAAAAAGGGCTTGAGATTGACCCTTTTTTCTGGAGGGTACAGAATCCCCCCATAAGCCACTGACTTCCCAACTTCCCAAAATGCCAATGAGTCATGGCAGCAGCTCTGCCTGTATTGTCTGTTTTGGGCCTCCAGGAGCTGACTCTGAGGCCTGGCTACTGGTCCTGCCCACTTTGGACAGGTGTTACCTTGGACTAGCATGGGTATCTGCCTCCTAGTATTGTTAGGCCTGGACATTATTCAGACCCTAGGCTGTAGGGCTAGTGAATGAGAGGGTGCTGTTTCTGAGTCCAAACCTGGCTTCTTCCCTCTACCCACTCACCAGTTGGCAAGCCAGCAGCGTGGACAGTCAAGTATTAAAGTATCATTGAATAGCCCGGTCTTTTCCCTCCACACCAAAGAGTGAGGCCAGCCAGGCTGGTTGTGGCCTTTGGAAGGGCAAAGGAGATGGCATGGGATTGTGTGTCCCCCACCCCCTTCCGTGCTGTTCAAGGAGTTGGTGAAGGGAGGCCTCTGCATATTAGAGCTATGTCCTAGCCACACACAGCCCAAAGAAACTTAAGTTTCTACTGTCTTTCCAGCCACATTTCAAGAGCTCAGTAGCTGAATGTGACCTTGTTAGTTACTGTTTTGGATAATGTAGAACAATCCATGATAGCAGAAAATCTCACTGATAAAGGTTTGTTCACAATCCTGTCGCCAGAGAAATAGGCAGCCATTCTTGGTTGACCAGCCCAAGACTCCCAAAGGACGAGTCCTTCCAGGTGGATTGTAGGCTTAGAGCATCCATGTTCTTGCCTTGGCCCGGCTAGATGAAGAGGCTCTTTTATTGGGGCTCATCCAATCAGTTAGCAAAGTGGTCAGAGATAGCTGGAATCTTGGGCACAAGTCTTCGGACCAGCATACTGCTCCTTGTGCTGCATGGTTTGAGTTCTCCTATGAGCCTGCTTGTGGGTCCCCAGACTATGCAACGAAAGGGTTACTGAACAGGAGAGGCTACCATCTGCAGGCGGCACTTAGAGCCATTTTGGCAGGCCTGTAAGGGGAAGGACTGCACGCACAACCATATAGCCAGAGCTGCTCATTCAGCCGTTTGGTTCCTATGTTTCTTCCTCTAAAAATCAGGAATCTCACATTCTACCTGGAAAATTGAGTGCGATAAGGTGAAAAGTGCCCTTCCTGCTTGAACAATGAATGACCTTGTTACAGTACCCTAATCTATAAGATTGGCACAGTTTCTGCTTGAGCAGTCTAGTTATCATGAAGCTTAAGGAAAATGTGTTTTGGTGATGACCATGCCTGGCACAGTTCAAGCATTTGAAAGCCCACTTTGGCTTCCATCAAGGGTCACAGGATCAGGCTCTGTCATTTCTTCTTATCTTAATCTGCATCTCAATGAAATGCAACTCGCAGAAGTGTCGTGGGTGAGAAGCAGTTGTCAGTACAGAGTCCACAAGTGGGTAAAGGTGGCCGCCATCACTGACCCACTCCTCTTTGTTGTCTTCCCCGACAGACTATGAGCAGCAACAGGAGCAAGAGAAGCTGGAGCGGGAGATGGCACTGCTGCGTGGTGCCATCGAGGACCAGCGGCGGCGTGCTGAACTGTTGGAGCAGGCTCTGGGCAACGCACAAAGCCGTGCTGCCCGGGCTGAAGAGGAGCTACGCAAAAAGCAGGCCTATGTGGAGAAAGTGGAGCGGCTGCAGCAGGCGCTGGGACAGTTGCAGGCTGCCTGTGAAAAGCGGGAGCAGCTGGAGCTGCGTCTGCGCACGCGCCTGGAGCAGGAACTCAAAGCCTTGCGTGCACAGCAGGTAAGCCCGGAGGACTTGTATGACTTGCAACGCCGGGCAGGATCCAAGGGATCCTTGATCTCTAATCTTTGTCCCTTTGGAAAGACAATTGCTCCATGTCCCCCTTGGCTGTTTGGTCCCTCTCAGGCACCTTGTATAGCAAAGGCTCTGCCACAAGCCCTACCGTGGCAATAACGGAAATTTGGTATCTTAGTACCAGTCAGCAATAATGTTCGTGCAGAAGACTAGACCACTCTGATCCATCTTCCCCAAAAAAGGAAGGAAGGTGTCTGAGCCCTGAGTCTGTGCTTGGGCATAAACATCTCTTATGTTTACAAACCAGATAGAGAGTCCTGTCTCTACACCCAACTTTACCATGTCATAGAAGTAGGGGGACCAAAACTTTGTCCCAGTGTGATTGTCTCCTAGTTCAGAGAATTGCTTTTATAGTCATATGTGCCCCTATGCTCCTGACCACCGGAATTAAGGAGAGGATGTGAAGACCTCTGTTATCCCCTGTATCTCTGAGTGGAAGTAGGAAGGGCTGCATGTGCTGGCCTTGGCAGAACAAAGGGATGCATATGTGAGAGTCTTCGTGAGAGCATGAGGAACAAAGGCCGCCGTGTGCCAGCCTTTACCCTTGACCATGCTGTTCCTTGCTCTACAGAGGCAGACAGGCTCCCTCACAGGTGGTAACGGCAGTCATGGAGGGTCCTCCGAGCTCAGTGCCCTGCGACTGTCAGAACAGCTACGGGAGAAGGAAGAACAGATCCTGGCTTTAGAGGCGGACATGACCAAGTGGGAACAAAAGTATCTGGAGGAACGGGCCATGAGGCAGTTTGCCATGGATGCGGCTGCTACTGCGGCTGCCCAGCGCGACACCACTCTGATCCGACACTCCCCCCAGGCCTCGCCCAGCAGCAGTTTCAACGAGGGCCTGCTGGCAGGCAACCACAGGCACCAGGAGATGGAGAGCAGGTACTATAGGGTCAGGCAGGAGTATCTGCGGTTAGAGATGGAATGATGCTACCCAGTCTCTTCCCCGGCCTTTGTCCCTGGTAAACAGGCCCCACCCATAGCAGCTCAGTATATTTGACATTCCAGAAATTATAAGCAATTCTTTCCCTGAGTGAATCCCTGGTATGCACATGCTGGAGGTGGGTGGGTACCTCCCAAGCTCTGGCCACTATTCCTTCTCTGTAAGGGATCTTTATCTGAGTCTTGCAATGAGGTGGGCTAACAAGGCCAAGAGGTCCTCCCTGCCTCAGAGAGAGATGTCTGGGTTTCTTTGCAACTTCTATGAGATGGGTGGCATGGAGGAGCTGAGCCTATGAGTCTGACAGTGTGACCTTCCCCAGGTTGAAGGTGCTCCATGCCCAGATCCTGGAGAAGGATGCAGTGATCAAGGTCCTTCAACAGCGCTCCAGGAAAGACCCTGGCAAGGCCGCCCAGGGCACCCTACGGCCCGCCAAGTCGGTGCCATCCGTCTTCGCGGCTGCAGTGGGAACTCAGGGCTGGCAAGGGCTCGCATCCAGCGAGCGGCAAACTGATGCACCTGTCTGGCCAACAGGAGGTATGAGGAAGCTTGCAATGGGACAGAAACGTGTGGGGGTTTTTGAATGTGTATTGCCAGACTCTTTCTCAGAATACACACACACTGTGACCAGGGCTTCCTGACCTCTCTTCTAGGAGACCTTTGCCCTCCCCCCGTGACCCTAAAACCTACAAGGGTCCTGCTAGTAAAGTGGATGCTAGACCTGCAGCTGCTTATGGAGAGAGATCTAGGCAGGATCTAAGTTCTACTGTTCCTGAGTGAATACTAAGAGATCCTAGATTTCAGCCACAAAGAAGGGCCACAGAGCATCGATGCCTCTCCCGACCCCACTTAGTCCCATTTCAAAAGAGGGATCTTTTCAGAGCTACCCAGCCCGCCGCGTTTGCTCTGGATGTCCTTCGTCGGGACCTTGTCTCCTACATCAAGCTATATCCATCAATGTCCATTCTTTTCTTACAGACCGTGTACCAGCAGAGGAGCCCCCAGCCACAGCTCCTCTCCCTGCCCACACCAAACATGGGAGCAGAGATGGGAGCACCCAAACTGATGGCCCTACAGACAGCACCTCTGCCTGCTTGGCCTCAGAACCTGACAGCCTCCTGGGGTGTAACAGTAGCCAGAGGACAACCTCTCTGGGTAAGCACCCTGCTTCGTTAGAAGGGGGTTGAGAACATGACAGAGGTGTGAACTGGAACACGTACACCCACTTTCCCCAAATTTCCTCAAACGCGTCCGCCTTGGAAAGCCCCGCAGTATGAACTAAGGGTTGTTGTAAATTGTCTCAGTCGGAGACAGAGCCATAATTCAGAAAGAAAGCAACTCCCCAGACGGCACTATAACTACTCCAGAGGTTACCCTCCTGCCAGTCCAAATATCTAAGATGACGGAGCTTGGCAAGTGAGCCTGGTGGTGATATTGGGTTAGGAAGCCATTTGGAAGAGCATAGAAAAGAGAAACTTTAGAGGAAGCCTTTTCTCTTTCTACTCTGGTTTCACATTTGCCCTTGCATAGCTGACTGTGTGTGCCCCATGATCTCAGAAAAACCACAGGCATGACAGGAACGCTGCAGCCTGCTTCTAACCCTGGGGGCACCCCTCCACCGATCACTTGAGCTAGCTCAGAGTCTAAACACAGGCAATCTTCCTCAGCTGAGGGGAGGGAGCACGGCCGTGTTCTTAGTTGAGCTAGGGAAGAAAAAGAGCCTGAGGTAGCTTAGGGGAGGGAATCTGTTGAAAGACCCTGTGTTGGGAGCTGAAGAGAACCAGTGGATAATACTTACAGCATAGATTTGTATTCTTGTCTTTCTCCAGACTCTGTAGCTGCAACCAGAGTCCAGGATCTGTCAGACATGGTGGAAATACTGATCTGAAGGAGGGAGGCCATGCCTTGGGGATCCTGAAACCTGGCTCCCCACCCCTGGCATTCCAGCAGTTGTCTTTAAATGCTGTGCCTCACTTCCGACCAGTGATGATTTGGTGCATGGAGCTCAGAGAGGAACACTCCAGGGGAGCTAGAAAAGGCTACACCCCCAGAAGACTGCTTTTTGGCCTTTATTTCTCCTATGACAATGAGGAAGGAAAAGCCAGTCCAAGGTCTATTTCTGGAGCAGAAGAGAGCTGAGCCCCCTCCGTCCTGCGCAGAGGGAACAGAGAGCAGATTCTGATTCCCAAGAATGGCTGGGCACCAGCCGAATGGTCTGCAGGGATAATCAGGCCAGCCATGGTGTTCTGCGGGCTAAGCATGGCCCCAGCCAACACTGTCTGCTCTTCAGTTCCTCACTGCCTTCTTCAGATCACTAAGACTTGAATCTCTTGGGAGACTACAGGAGTATGAGTCTTTCGGGAGCCACCAGCATGTCCCCTTGCTTGGAGTAGGTTAGAGGCCATTTGAGAGGCCCTCAGAACAGTGTGTTTTGTATATAATTCTCTTTCATTGGAACAGAAGCCTAAGCATGCTGGTTCAGATTCTCCTTCCCAGGGCTGTGCTGCCTGCCCCTGCTGCCACAGTTCTTGAAGAAACATTTGACAGGTCTACCAGATGTTCCTTTGCCTCCAGTTCTTGGCTGTGGATTTTGATACTGGTTGCCTTTCCTCTGTTTTAAATCCCTGTGTTTAATGCCCATGGGATTCTTATCACCAGCCTTTGTGAGTGGCTCCACAGCTCCTCTCCCTGGGACATCCTGTCAGTTCGGTTATAAACTGAGCCAGATGCGATGAGCCACCACAAGTGGACATCTGTCATGCCCAGCACCAGGTTCTCTTTGAAGAAACTGGAGAAGTTGTTCTCATAAATGTATTTGTTCCCACCAGCAGGGACTGGGAGAGGGAGCTAGGTTGTTGAAACTAATCAGTGAACTTAGAAAAGTCCTCACCATGGTGCCCATCACAGAATGGCACCCGAGAGGCTGGCTCCTCAAGCTCTGGTGCCCCAGCCCTGAAGCAGGGCCAGCTACTTGGAATTAGGTGAAGTACCCCGACATGGCAGCCTATCAGCAGCAGTGACTTTGACTTCTGGTCTTAAAGGAACCCCAATTCAGCTCAAAAAGCTGGATTTCAGCTCTTTTGTGTTGTTCTCCTCTGGTTGTTTTGTTTGTTATTCTCTCACTGTTTGAAGTTCTGTCTATTGTCTGTTCCATTCCCATGGCTCTCCGAGTTTCCTTTTTTAAACATTTGCATTTGCTGGGCAATTGCGTATTTTTTTATTTCCCCTTTCCCCTGTGTAAAGCTGAGAAACACATTTGGTTCATGTACGTTGTTTACAAAGAGAAAAGTTAAAAAAAAAAAGAAAAAAAGAAAAAAAATATTGTGAAAGAAAAAAAAACAACTTAATATATTTTGGATTAATATTTGGTATTTCTTTTAAAGTATTTTTTTTTTTGTGCTGTGAACATTTTCTGCCAAAGACCATGACGTGTGTCTGTGTGTTTAAGTTATCATGAATATTTAAAGTGTAAACATGGCTGTTTTGTTACGCCACTCTGTACCAGGATTGCTGCTGCATTCCGCCAGGTATGACAGTATTTTAATAAAAAAAAAAAGCTTATAAGGAGATGTTTGTCTGTCTGTTGTTTGTTGAGATGCTGTCTAGGTTAGAGTCTAAGTTGCCCTCAAACTAGAAATTCTCCCACCTCAGTCTCACTAATGGTGGGTTTGCAGGTCTGTGCGACCACCTCCAGCTACAAGACTGGTTATCTGCAAGGATGAAGAGAGAAAGACTGACGATTTTGAAGGGTCACTCCCTCCAAGAACATTCGACATGTCCAACGAGAGATTGTGTGAGGTGGTATTAAGGACAGTTTAAATGACATGGCTGCCCCTGCCACCACACTCAGCATGCAGTGACACTGAGATCATCCGAGGGCAGCAAGAGTAACCAATTTTGATTTTGGTTGCTCTACAGTAGGCATGAGTACGACACATGACCCACTCTACCCTCTCATTCCGTGCACACAGCCTTGTCAAAGGATCCAGCTACCATGTGGACCCTCCAACCAGACCCGTGCACAGTTGGTCAGAGAGTGTGATAAGTTCTAGGGCACTTGTCTTTAGTCTTTTGTGATACCATACCCACCCTTTCCAAGGTTCACCAAGTATATCTCTCCAACTCAAAAAAAAATGGGGGGGGAACTATCCCTTAATCTTGGCATTGAATCCAGTCAGAATGCAAGTGGACGGAAGGATGACCAAGAGGCAGCAGACCACCAGATAGGCCATGAGGCCCATGACAGCAAATTAACCTGTGACCGTGGGTGGGGTTCTAAAGAGGGTGTCTTTTGGCCAACCTGCGTGTCATAGGAATGGAATTCCACAGGTGGGTAGAATTCAGAACACACAAAGACTTCACCAGCAATCCTGCAAGTGACTGGACTTTGCTGTCTGCCTTCTGTGTGACTTAAGTCTATAAAGAGTCACCTTTATATTTCCTGTAGACTGAAAGAGGGAAGAAATGAATCCCAATGTGCCCAGAATATCTATTTACATGTATATGTGTATATGCCTACACATGTGTCCCCAGAGGAAGGTGTAGGGGCAGCAATATTTTCTATTTTCTACTCCCACATGACTCCATGGGCTCCCTTGTAAGTCTTCTCAGGGAAGAAACTAAACAGGTTATTCAGCACTCTGCAATCCTCCCTAACTGAGCCCTGGAAACAGAAGCTGCAGCTGGTGGTGAGTTGGAGAGCTTTTGAGGAGAAAGGTATTTGCCTCAGGTGTCTGGACACCTGCAGAGGGGTGGGGCCTATGCTAGGACCTGCATGGCTCTGCTAGGCCCTTTGGAAACCAAGTTGGTCAGAGGGAACAACTAATCAGAGCCCCAACCTTCCTATCTTGCCCTCATCTAGGATGAGTAAATAGGGTTGGCTGTGTGGCTCAGGGTGTGTGTAGGGGGTGGGGATGGGGTGGTGGGAGTGGTGAAGCATACCGACCCAGGAGCTGTGTATGAGCTACTGGCCTGGCTTCTCTCCTCTGTCTCACCTTCTGGTTAATTATTAACTCTCCCTTGGCATGAGCATGTGCCAGGCTCAAAGAGCTTCCTAACAATGTGCCAAAACAGTGACTGTAAACAGATACAAACCCACAGAGAACCAAAGCCTCTCCATGGTTCCCAGAAACCCCATCTGGACAGGAAACGTGTTTTCAGGACTGTCACCTTGTCTCTTAGCCCAAGTGAGGATCTAACGGATACCTAGTGTATTTGTAGACCTTACTGGGTGACCCACGCCTGCTGGAGGAAGTCCAGAGACCTCATGGCAGCAATGCCTTTTTGACCGACTGTATCTGGGTCGAACCCATGCAGAGTATCACAGCAAACAAGTGTTCAGCATCCTTTGGAAACGAGTAGACTTCGTACACCATGAAATCCCCCTTTTGAAGTACATACTTCCTTCGCATCTAAGCTACTGGTCAAGCATGGATCAGCTGATCCACTTTCCACATGGCCTGTTAGTTCCCTGGATGACTTCTTGAACTTTCTATAGCTGACAGGATTCCTTCCTACATCCTGGACCCACTTCCACCAGGTTGCAAAGGTCATTGTCTGCTCTAAGTTGGAGCCTCTACCACTAGAGCCTTCCGTCATGTATCCCAAGCCTGCTATGGGGCATATGTTCTTCCCAAATGGGCCAGCGAATATAGGCTCTACGGAGAGTTGCCTTTTTTAAAAAGCCTGAATCTTACTTAATTGATTTTCTAAGAAAAATGGTGCCAAAGGTTGAGTCTGGTTTGTTTTTTGTTTGTTTGTTTGTTTGTTTTTTTAAGGGACCTGTTAAGGCTTCATTATTAACTTCATATTAACTCTACTTAGGGACACTGGGCATCATGCCTGCCCAAAGAGATGATGTTTTAGGAAATGCCCATGGTTAGGGGTTACCTTTGTCTCTTCTAAGTGGGGCTTGGAACTGGAGATGGGGTAAGTTGAGATCTATGGCACAAGCAGTGTGGAAGCCTGGACAGATTGGCCAACCTACCAAGACCTGAATCTATGTCTGACCTATGTCTTAGGCCTCCTTTGTGCCACAAAGCAAACTTCTAGTTCCCAGCAGCAGTAGCAGGATGGGGCCCATCTGAGGGTAGCTACTACCTTGTTGAGGGGACATGATACTCCTCCAATCCAGTTTTAGAGCAAGGCCAATGTCATAATCTGTCCTCAGATAGGTGTCTTTTGCAAGTCCAAATGCTCCTAGCTAAGGACACATTCCAGGTATATTAGGCAACTCATGGTCATTTCCCTGTCAGGACTGACCCTTCCTGAGTCTTCCTGCCCTATGACAATGATATTTCTAGCTGGGGGAGGCCCCTGTCCAGACCCTCCTCCGCAGCTTCTGCTCGCTCAACACAGTGTACTGTGGCAATCCTCACAACAGATTGCATCAGTAGCAAGCATGCAAGCCTCTCCACGGCACAGCAGCAGCTGTACAATGTGGGGCCACTACCAAAGCTTGCCTGAAAACTATTTTTATGTGTAAGCATGTGTAGTGTGTGTGTGTGTGTGTGTGTGTGCAGGTGAATATGCTCATGTGTAGAGGCCAGAGGAGAATATTGTGTCTCCTGCTTTATCAATGTCTCATTCCCTTGAGACAGGGTATCTTACAGACCCTTCCTTCCTATGGCGTGGGTTCTCTGCTTTTGTGTGGCTGACTTCTCTTTCCTCCATCCCCCGTGTCTCTAAAACAGCTATGGTGTCTCTTCCTTTCTTCCTTTTACTATTTGCTGATTCATTCATTCATTCATTCATTCATTCATTCATTCATTCAATAGCAGATGTTTACTGAGGCAGAGCAGTCAGTGTAAAGTGAATTCTGTTCCAAAACACTTATGCCCCAACCATCTGTTTGATTGTTGTATGCTCTCCCCAAGCCAAGCACAGGGTTGCTCAGAAGTGTTGTGTGAATGAGTAGTCTAGACAGGAACTGTCCCACTGTTTCTCTGGCTCCAGATTTGATCAGGCATCAGACCCCTCCATGCCTCCAGCATCTAAACAATACTTGGCGGGTTTAGCTCCAAGCATCTCACGTGTCATTTCTGTGTCTAGGAATGCTTTCCCTATGGATATCGTCTCCACTAGCAGTATCTATTGTCTCCCTCTTGGCTTCTTTTGTGGTCCTACATGAGCAGAAGACAGAGAAGAGTTGCACTCCCAGGCTGAGGGACCTCTTGTCAGGGGGGACATTCTTTAGGGCTCTGCTTGGTTGAGAAGGAGCCTAAGGTGAGATGACACAACCAGCAGAGGTATGCTCTCTGTCTGCACAGAAACAGTCACGTGTAGCCCTGAGCAAGATCCAGACAGTAGTCCCTGGGGATATTTTGACCAAGAGTCCCAAGCCCCTCCCCATTGACCAGACCCCTGTTATTCCCTGGAGGTGAGAGGATAACAGGGACTTTGTGGGTGGAGTCCTCCAGGTCAGAGGAGGAGAAGCTGAGCCCCAGGGCCTGGGCTGAGCCATAGGGGTACATGAACAGGCAGCTGTGGGTGTGTGAGCCCAGAACTGGCCACACAGGATGGCTGGCCCTTGAGTCAAGCCCAGGCACTGACAGCCATGTGAGCCTAAGCCAGCACAGCCGTGGGAACAGTAGGTTCCTCCACCCCCAAGAAAGCTGCTCTCACCTGGAGTCACTCCTGCCTGGCTCTGCCAGCGCTGAGATCCCTCTAGATGCGGGCCAGAAGTGGGGTGGGTCCAAATGCTCTTTCTCAGGTTTATCTTCTGGTACTAAGGTTCCAGATTCAGATTAAGATAAAGGCGTCAAGTTGTCAGGCACACACATGGGCTCCCGAGATCATCCTGTAATCCTCAGGCGGCAAGCTCCTTGCCCTGCCTCTCTGGAGACAGAACCTCCAAAATCAAGGGTCAGGAAAAGGGATGCCTCTAATTAGCTATTTTGCCAAATAAGTGACCTTGAACTTTTGACCTCCTCACCTCCACTTCTGAAGCGATGGAACTACAGGCATATGCCATGATGCTCCTTTGGTGTCATGTAAGGTTGAACCCCAGACCTCATGCCCCTTTGGTGACACGTGCACATCCATATTCTTCTTAAAGCAAATCTTACGGGTGTGTCTCGTTTGCATGTATATATGTGTACCACATTCGTACCTTGCACACAGAGGGCGGAAGAAGAGGTCAATTCTTAGAAATGGAAACAGCCATGAGTTTCCATGTGGTTACCTGGAGCCAAACCAGGATCCTCTGCAAGAGAAGTCATGCTCTGTATGACAGACATCTCTCTAGCCCTCAACACACGTGTTCTTATGAACTTGCATCTACATCTACAACAGACATGCACACGAGCTCCGAGACTACAGGCTCATGTGTGCTCTGAGCAAACGCCAGCATCTTCAGTGAGTTCAGTGAGTGGCAAGCATGTGGGTGAGATGAAGTCCATGTACCTGTCCAAGTAGCACTCTCAACATAGCTCTGAAGAAGCAGGCAGCGACCCAGCTCGTGCCCTCTCTACCAGCTGCAGGGAGCACAAAGCAAGGCAGGGTCAGGTTAGACTGGAATAACCTCAAAACTCCTGGGTCCTGACTCAACAGCAGAAGCAGACAGCCAT